GAACCCGTGACCCAACCAAACACCACTGGTCAAGATCCGGGCTTGTCGGGCATCCAACTCCACAACACCAGCAGAGTGGACACATGGGCTCGAGTCAACCCACCTCAACCCCCGCCGACGCTACTCAGACGAGCCGAGCCACCTGGGTCGCACCCAACCCCAACCACAACCACTCACCTCTTTGAAGCAACCCACCACGAACCAAGCGCGCAGCGGACGTGCTCCCTCCAGCGCCGAGCAGGGATGAAGCTAACCGACGACCAGCGACCATAGCCGCGACTCGGAGAACCAGAAAATGGAACCACCAGTGGCGAGATGGAGACGGCGAGGCCTGCCGAGGGCTTGGGAGAAGCTCCATCGGCGCAGAAGCACTGGCGAGCGAGAAATTGGGGCGGCATGACGCAGCTATAGGCCTTCCGCCGGCGAAGGCGTGCGATTGAGGGAAATTGACGAGCAACAGCAAGGGTTTTGCCTGGGAGAGAAAGGGTATCGTGCGTTTTCTGAGACGGTTGGATTAAAAATATTCGATTCTGATTAGATTGGACCAAAATTTTGATGGACAATTCATACACCAGACATAGTGAAAGTAATTCACCAAGAATGCATAATAGTAGTAACACACACACACACACACACATACACACACATATATATACATATATATATATATATATAGAACCTATTTACCAAAAATAGTAACAAAAAAAAGTCAACCAACATTTATTGTATTATATTTTTGGCAGTTGTTGAATTTTCTTCTTAAATTATTCCAAAAACATCAATCAACTATATATGTACCATAAATTCATGGGTTTTGTAGATTTAATTTAGGTAAATTTAGATTGATTCATAAAGTTTTGCAAAAGTCAATTTTTTTTTCTCATTTTATATATGTACAAAAAACCGACTACCATGAAATTGAGAATTTCAAATTAAACAACATACTATCACATATATCTTTTACTAATTGCAACAAATCAGTTGTTTATTAAAAAAATCAGATTCCATAAAATTCAGGTTAATTTAGGTAAAATTCGGCACGATAATTTTGTAAAAGTCAAAATTCTCGCATTTTTTAATGGAAAAAATGTTTACCATAAAATCGAAAATTTTGAATTGGACAAAATACTATAACATGTATCTTTACCTAATTGCAACAAATCATGTTTATTAAAAAATCCGATTCCATAGAAATCAAACCCAATTTCAAATTGAAAATTAAAATTTTAAAATCCTTTATCATTTGCCTACTACTTTCTTTAGTTAGTATTTTTTTATTAAACATAAAACATAGTCAGATAATATTAATTTGAAATTCAAAATAAAATCGGATTGAAACATCCTAAAAATTTGGGTTTTATTTAATCCTCTAGAATACAAACTTGAAATGGATTGCATACACTTTACATAATTTTTCTCTTCCTTAAATTAAGTAATTTACAATTTTAAAATAATAAAGCTATAAATTTGTTCATGTCGAAAATCAGACGATCAACTGATAAATAAGAGACAAATTCCTTGCATAAAAATGAAGAACAAAATAGTTAAAGTTGGTGTTTTTAGTTCTTTTGGAGGGTCTAATGCTCTCTCTTAATGTTGGAGGAAGAAGAACGTGAATAGGAAAAAATTCCTTCTCTCTCTCATCTTTTTACATATATATACATCTCCCACTCTCTTTGTGGCGATAGACGAAGTACGAAAAGACCAAACAAATAATATTGTGTGCACAGATGTGTTTAACAATATATAAGTTACATTTTGTTTTATTCAAATACATGCGTTTTACGTTTTTACAATCATTCAATCATCCAAATCTAAATTATTACCTTAATAAAACTAGCCCGTTCATCGCACGGTTACCGCACTAGTATTTAATAACACTAGAAGGTCTTGTATTTTAAGCTTGCAACAATAAATACGAGGTCATAGTTTTGTGTTAAAAAAAAAAGTACTACATCTTTTCATTATTATGATATGCATCAAATTTATTGGAAGTGTGTCACTTTTCTAATAAAATTATAGGTCATTACAAAATGTGATTATTCGATCAATTATGACATATATCTAATTAAATTTGACCCGTTACCATGATTGACATTAATTTTTATGTTATAAAAACCTTGATGCCCTTACAGAGGTGGTTGGCCACCTTCAAATTTAAACAAACTTTACTTAAATGGGAAGACTAAATCAAACAGCTATGTGTTATCCTATTTCCTCCCACCCACTTATTATTGGTAACCAAATTTTCGGCTTTTTTGAAATTTATATGTTTGAAGTGTGACCATGATTTGTTGTATAATATAATCATCTTTTTGAAGAAAAAGAGTATCAAAAAGGGAAATATGGTGAAAAAATCAAAAGGAAAGCACGAGTCCAACGGTCATGCTGCATTTTTCCTTTGTTTACACACACGCGAATAGACCGGAAGTGTACCCGGCTCGTACGTGATGGAGTCCATTATGGGAACCGATTACTGTGAAAGATTCCTGCAAAAAGTTCCTTCAACGTTGATATGGGATACCGTACCTAAGAGAATAAACCGGTCGACTAGGCTTAGTGAGCCGCCTGGTCGATCAGAATCACAACAGGTGGTGGTCGAACACATCATCGATTCGGGACAAAGAGCCTTCCATCTGGAAGACAGCGTAAGGACTACATGACATCAGGTCGAGCTAGGGTCCTCAGATTGCGTGTGATAGAAATTCAACATGTAGGCATTACTGGTGGTGTGATCAACCAGAAGGAACAACACTTGGTCCAGGACAATCAATATTCTACCTCAGCAGATATTGAGTTGGTCGTACTATTAAGTGGCTTAATATGAAGATTAAGGGATAAGAAAGAATTTTTCCATAACTAATTAACACTACACGAGGCACTACCTGATTGGTCTAAAACCAGCAACCACCTTTGACAGTGCAGGTTGTGCTATCGGGTAGCTTGGACAGCCAGCTCAGCTCATCCGAGCAGCCTTCTAAAAGCAGCTACCTCACCCCTTTGAATAGGGGGGAGATTTGTGCTTTTAGCTCATTACATTCATATTAC